TAAAACTTCCAGTAGCGAAGGAAATGAGTAAGAAGACAAGGTTATTAACAGAAATTTATACTTAGCAGTATGTCTGTTCAAGTGAAAATATAACCACATTTCTATTTTGCCTACAAATTTCCCCATTTGGGGAACGGAGAAAAAGTGCTTTATATTACTAAAATAGTATTTATGCCCACAACTTCTAAGTCCCTCTTTGCCAGAAAAACTGCAAGGGCTGTTACAAAGGAAAGCACTAATGTCAGTTGCATTTTACAGATGGAAAACTAAGGTACAGAAAGATCTAACTTACTAAAGCCAGGAATAAAACCAGAAATTCCAAGTCTTTGAAGATCCAGAGCAGCGCAGAATTCAACAGGCATTGTGCCTGTCTGTCTGAACACTAACACCCACAGACTGACACGATCATGCCAGTACTTTACAAACAACTACAGTCTCCCACCCTGGAGCCTCTTCTGACCAGAACTTGGACTGTTTCATTTTTGCTACAGTCATCAATTCTCAAATAAAAAGAGGCAAAAAAAAAAAAAAAGGAGCCAGAGATGGAGGTAACTGGCTGACCAGATTAACAAACAAAACAAAACAAAAAAACCAGAACACAAAAAAAAAAGGAGCCAGAGATGGAGGTAACAAACAAAACAAAAAAAAACCCAGAACACAACAAAAAAAAAAAGAGCGATGCCACTTATCTTTCTCTTTGAACCAAGCAGTGATTGGCAATTGACTGAAGGTTACAGTTGTGACCTGCTAGATCTCCTGTGGTCTATATGGAAACAATTTGGGGTTTATGTCCAATTGCAGAGATATCCACACCACAAAGCCTGCATGTTTCCTAGAACAGGTGCAATCCAGAACCAAGGCTCATTGCGGGGACGATGGTGTTACTCTACAGGTACAGTAATTTGTATGTACTCACTCACATAGCCAATTCAGCACTTCGATGGGGAAATGCCACGTACATTTGCGCTCTGCTTATGAACAGGCATTTCTTAGTTGTTAAATATGCATTAAAAAATACAGATTAGTTAACAAATATGCACTTCATATTTGCACAGCCAGACAGCTGGGGGAAGCAAAGGTCAATGAGCAACCATGTTAATATTCTAGTCAGGATGACTGCTCAGCCCAGCTGTTTTAGATACCACTCTGCATAAAGAGAAGATCCTGATGTTTCTGAAGTGCAAAAGATAAAGTGACTGAGAAGTCCGCGTTAATAAAATAACAACGCAATACAGACATACTAAAGTTAGGTTGAAACTACAAAAAAAAAAAAGCCACCTGAGAAGCAGGAAACATGTCTTTTCGAGCTCCTTGGAGCTATGGTTAGATTTTTGCCTGTACCAGAACTAGCTTAGAGCTAGGTGTGCAGCATCTCTATTACACTCCTACCTGCAGTGCTTATGTGCCCTCTAAGAGAAATGATATTTTCAGACCTTGCAAAATAGAGAAATGTAATGTTTTTAAATGGTATTTGGTAAGTATTATTTGAAAATTTAGTTGCTTACCTGTTTTTCCTGTTGCATCTACTCATTTTGGAGTCTTTCTGCCACTTAAATGTAATAAAGCAGCCCTGACAGCCTGGCTCACTGGCAAGTAATTAATAGACTACCTTGAAAACATTCATCATCCTCGCACATATTTTGTGATGCGGGAAAGCTTATTTTTATCACTTAAGAGCTAGACAGACACAGCCTTACCATCAATACTTTCAGTAAACCCCAGAACTTTTCTAAATGCCTTACAGGAACCACAACAACTACTACAAATATTAGTATTGAGCAACTGTGTTGCCAGTTACTGCAAATATTGATGTTAAGCATTCCTACAGTCTATTTATCTGAATAAAGCAATTTACCAGTTCTTAAATTTAGTGGTGTATGGAATTTATCTTCTCTTCTCTTTGTATAGTATATTAAGTAGCTGCTACATTTTACTCACAATTCATTTATCACAGAAAAAACCTTCTACTTGAACAGAACTGACAGGGCAAAGGCGGTCTGATGTAAGCCAGAACAGGTCACTTTTAGGTAAGTGGGCCAGAACCGCTAGGAGCAGTGCTTTAAAATGAACCATCAGTAAATTATGTTTCAATAAATTTGCATACTGTAATTGCACTTGCTGGAATCACAAATGGAAGATCAATCCTGTGTCAGCTCTGTACATTTGAGAATCACTAGTGTTGACGTTCAGCAACATGAATGGATTCTGTACGTGACATATTACAAACGTATATAAAAAATAAATGCAGTATGAAGTACAGGTACCACAATCATAAACTGTAAAAGACTGTATCAGTGAATGATGGTGGGACTCCACTGGTTTCTACAGAATTGCTGAACGGCTGAATTTAACCTAGTGAATTTAACTTCACTGTACTCACTAGGAAGAGACCCAGCCAAGCTCTTTGGAACAGTAAATGGGACTGGACTTACTTATCTGGGGGACTGCGGCTGCACCCTCTGGAGAGCCAACCTTCCTTGCAGACAGTCTGTGCTCTGGTGAGGTGCTGGGGCCAGCTGCAAGGTCATGGGGTGGAGCAGTTAATAGCAAGTGTACTGGAGACCTTTCTCTGTACCTCTCCTCCTGAGAGACCTTCTTGGGGAAGGATGTATAACGAGGAGCTGCTGAGAAGATGGATGCACCTCCTAGGAGATATCCAAGCAAAGAGCAGTGAGCACACACCTGAAGAGAAACCCCCATACCAGCTTTGACGTTATCTCTGTAAGAGTTACAGGGTTGGGTTCCCTTCATTGCACTCTTTTGTCCTTTTCATTCCTTACTAGTAGCCAAGGTAGCAGGAGACTATAGCCTCTTTGCAAAACATGCTTGTTTCTGTTAAAGTGATTGTCATGTGAAGAACGGCCAGTAAACCTGCTAGGAGAAAGTAGGGCCTGCTTTTTTCTGCTGGCTACTTACTTCATGTTTACTTCCAAAACAGCCTGATGGGAATATCATAGCTGCTAACAACCCAAGACTCGCTGTCCTTACTGCTGACTTGGATCTCATTACTTAGGTATAAGAAGCAGAAAAAACAATGTTGCTTACACAGGTCTGCCATTTCCCTCCTTTCCAATAACTGATTGATAGGCTTTGAGTTCCTGGCAGAAAGAGAGTCATAAGGAAAAGAGACAAGATATGCATAGAAATATGCCACCAACAGATTATGTAACATATTTTCATATGTAAAAGGTTGCATGCAACTAATGAGGGGAAGATTTACTACAATTCTCCTCTTTTTCTTCCCGTAGTCTTGTTTCCTTGCTCCTAACACCCCTCCTGGGATGTCCTGAAAATAATTCGGGGGGGTTCTAACAAACTCCACTTGTTCAACTACTTCTCCAGACTTCTATGGAGCAAACGCTACTTGCAGCTATTTTGGAAGCTAGGAAAAATCCCTGGATGTTGCAGTAGGTTTGCTAGAAGGCTGACAGTAACTACCCAGGAGATTTTCTTGCTATTTTAAAAGCTAGGAAAAGTCCCTGGATGTTGCAGTAGGTTTGCTAGAAGGCTGACAGTAACTACCCAGGAGATTTTCTTTAACACTCAGAAATATAAAAAGAGGACCCCTAGTAGTTACTCCTCAGGACAAACAGAGAAGTTCTAGCCTCTCTCTGAAGCACAGTGGCTTAAATACTAATAGAGAACAATTAAATATATCAGCATCTGCAGGCAATTTTCACAGAAAATTAACAGAATGGATAATCTATGGGCAAGAAAACAGAAGGCGGCTAAGACTAGCATCTTCAAACCCTCATGCTCAAAGCCGTATCCTTGTATTTCTATTTCGGTTACTAAATTCATGTCACCACATTTTAAAAGGTACTGACCACCCAGTACTTGAAAGGAAATCAATGGAATTTGCAATGACCTGATTCCTCTCAAAAGCACATCCATGTTTAGATACCTGAATACAGAATTCAAGAGCTTAAATTTACGCACCAAAAATCTGGCAATATTATCCATGCTAATTACACAGGACTATTGCTACTCATTAATGGAACTGCTGACTGCAGTTAGCAGTAATGGAACATATCCATTTTAGGTGTGCTGGTATCAGCCTCCATGGAGCTGGTTTGCAACAAGATAGAGATTTTGCAGTAAGTGCAATAGAGACTTTGTAATAGCACCTGCTAAGAGGTATTTGAGTAAATGACCTAAGAAAATATACTGTATTTGGACTATATTTTTTGTAATATTCTGTAATGTTCCAGTTTGCCATCGATATGGCACGTTCATCCTCAAACGTGGCCAGTGAAAACTTACCAAGCGATGTAAAGGGCAGGGTAACGTCTTGGGACTGAAGATCTGCAGTACGTAAGCATGAACGATCCCTGCAAGCAAAATGATGGCAAAACTTGCATTCTGGAAGTATTATGCTAAGTTTTGGTAATGCTACCTAGCCTCCACAGTGAGAATGTGAAGCTCTCATATACGTAATCTCCAGATCTGATACATGTAAATTAAAAGCAAACAATGTAAATAAGTTCCAGAGCTCTTCCTTAGAGGGATGAAAGCAACATCACAGCTTTGTTTTGTAATTCCCAGGAAGCTTTTAGCATTATGAGTAAAACAACACAAACAAGCTCAGGACTGATGCTGTATTAAAAAAGCCTTAGAAACTGATTCTCAAATGAGTGCTTTAAGCAGCAGGTTACTCAGCTAAGTGAAAGCACTTCTCACCGTCCGAAAGTATCCTTTTCCACGATGCTTTCAGTAGCAGAGTCTCTAGCTGCAGTCTGCCTGCATGGAAAAACATACTGCTGTCAAAATCTCAGCAAAAGCCGTGCCAGTAAGATTGCTACGTTTCACACTTTTAGAAGATACGCTTGTTTTTTAAGCAGAGTGCAATGGCAGCCATATTCTAATAGTGAAGAAAAGGCATCGTAAAATTGTTACACAAGTTCATGAAAAAAAGTCTATTAGAGCTGGAGTGAATTTAGACTACTGAAGTGATGCGTATCTTTGGGAGATAAAGGCCTATATTTGTTATGAATACCAGGTAGACATAAAGATGGAAAAAAGACAATAAACTTCTGCCTTAGACAACTAATGCCACTGCAATCTTCCTTCTGGTTACTCACACAACAGTGCTTCTATTTAGCTTCTTCAGACCAGCTTGCAGTTATTAGGTGCTTTTCGGCTCTTATTTCACCTAATAGCATCAGATGACTACCATAACATAAATATTTGCCTTTTCCAGGTTTGGACCTAGGTCTTTTCTCAGGCACTGTAAGTTCTTAGAGTACAGTGGTATTTGATGAGAGAATGGAAACGGATCATTGGTTAATTTCCAAAAAACAGCTAGACTCATTTTAAGTACGAGCATTGAGAGACGCTTGGAAGCGTTCCAGAGTAGTAAAATCTTGCTGAATTTAACGTTGACCTTTTGTAGGAATGCTCCATTTCCAGCAGCAGCTCTGCTATTCCATCTGTATTACACAACCCCCCCCCCACTAAGCATGCTTGAAGCATACGAAGTGCTATCTTTCTTTATCATACAAAACCTTCTTGCTCTATATCAGGCTTTTTGTGACAACCTCAGCTTTGGAACAGACCAAAAAAAAAAAAATCAAGTAAGATTTTACAGCAAATGGCACTTGTCGTCTGTCCCATCTTTTTCTACACAACCCCCCCCCACTAAGCATGCTTGAAGCATACGAAGTGCTATCTTTCTTTATCATACAAAACCTTCTTGCTCTATATCAGGCTTTTTGTGACAACCTCAGCTTTGGAACAGACCAAAAAAAAAAAAATCAAGTAAGATTTTACAGCAAATGGCACTTGCCATTTGGCATCTCATATTCTGATATGGTAACTTTGGATACAGCACAACTTTTAACTAAGGCACTGGGAACAAAAGAAAAAAAAAAATTGAGCTTCATCTCAGTTTTCATAGGAGACAACCAACAAAACCTTAGCTCTGCTTAAGCTACCTAGAAGCATCTTGTTCCAGCTTTCCATAGACCACTTGTTTATCTTTTGGTAAAGGTTCTCTATTTAATTAATAAAGTATCTATTTAAAAAGAAATTCATTAACTTCTATGGACTTCTTCAGCAATGTCCTGTGGATGTCATCACCACATTCTTCTTTACAGAAAATGCCAAGGTGATGAATGCCTTTTGGTAATCCTTCTCACTTCTTTAACACCAATTCTGTGGTACGTACAAACACGAGCTTTGAAGGACACAAGCCTGGTCAATGAATCTTATACATCACTACTTCACTGAGCTATCTCAGAATTTTGATCTACAAGGAACTTCTAGAACATAAACAATTATTTTCTTCCCAATTTTTAAATCAATTTTTACAACTCTCTCTTTATTTCTCAAAATATTGTCTGTATCGTCCTACTGTATTCACTCGATCGACATCTTTATCTGTGTTGTCCGTGACCTTTTCAGAAAGATGATTTCTCACCTCTTGCAAGGACCCGATCGTAGGCTGAAGACAGCAGCGCATCCTCTACTTGCACCATCTCTGTGTAGAAGGATGTAGAAAGACAACATCAGAACTAGCACTACCAACAGCACTGAGATAGTCATGGGCTTTGTATAACAGACAGCTTTGTGTATCAAGGGATGATTAGGTGTAGGATTCTCCCATCCTCATTTCACCTCTGCAAGAGAAAACTGCTGCAAGGGAGAAAAATTCCCATAAAATCCACGTGGTCTGAACCATAAAAGCTTACAACCATATGTAGAAAAGAACAGTTCCTCCCACTGCCACCATAAACAAAGAACATAGGCAATAATCACATAGTGCAGGCTGGCCAAGGACACTTGATTGTCATGCCTCCAAAGGACTCTATCTATGATAGGCAAAGTCAAGGTAGGAAGACGTAGTACATTTACTACTTGAAAAATCAGACAGACAGAACAACTTCTGTGCATGAATCCTTTTTCCAGTTGTGAAACAGAAGCTTCTATATTTAAACTGTCAAAAATTTGCATGTTGATAACAGGCAGATCTTTTGTTCAATAAAAATACCTGGGAAAAACAGAAAACCCCAGAATACATAGGGTATTGAGACTGATGTGATTTTGTTCCACCAGTATGTGTTATGGGAGAAGCGTCATGGTTTCAATAAATTTGATCCTAATAAAAGTCCATGAATTATATTTTCCTTCATGAAGTATGCTCATGTTCTGGCTTAGAAACATCAGAATTTGTGCTGTATTGATTTTTCAACTTCATGTACCACTGTCATTATCATCTGTTTGGTTAAAAAATAATTGCCTGCTTCAACAATGAGAGAAGGGATATTTACGTAAGGCAGAAAACAAAGAAAGGAGTTCTAAGTGAAAATAAAAGCAGGAATGCCAAAAAGCAAGCAATGAAGGCAAATCGTGTAGTCACCTTCTATTTCCCTACGACCTAAAGCACCTGAGGAACCTGGCAAACAACAGAAGCTTCGGAAGCTTTCAGATTATCTCAAGCTTACTCGTAAACCCACCTTTCTTGCAAAAAGGCATCCTATACTGCTCCTGAAGCACATGAATAGCCAGATCCTAGTTTTAGAAGGCAATACAAGTACACAGCACACAACAGAAATAACAATATATTGCTCTTACACTGTATTCCTCATGGTTGCTAAAGGTGATTTTCTCCCACCACTGCTGTCATCCTTGCCAAGAGCCACAGAGGGAATGTCATTGTCTGAGCTTGTTAATTCTTGAAGAATCCTCTTTAGATCCTGCAGTGGTTCTTCCTTCAAAATGCCTGGCTTGGAAGGCATCTGAAATAAAATCATTCAGTTACAGAGCATTTATAAAGGCACTCTCTTTTTCAATTCTTACCTATACTCATCCAAAGTCACATGTTTTTCCCCCTCTACTCTTGTCTTACCAGTTAGAAACAGGGTGGATTTTTTGTGATTTTAGTTAAGAAGTGTTGGAGGCTAGATCATGATAACTTGAAGAGTGTCAAAATACTCTCTGAATATGATTGCACTTCTATCTGAAAAGTTATCTGACAAAAATGTGTAAAGCAACTAAATATGCTTGAGGGAGAACATGGCTAACATCTGCGTTTTGAATAAATGTTGTAAAAAGGTTATGACTACTGTTTCAAGGTCAAAAACATTAAAATAAGCCTTTAATTGTGAAAGCTTCCTCCCCACCCAATACAACCATTACCCTTTTCAGTACTCAGAACCAAAAAAGGCTGTTTTCTCCTTTTTAACCTGTGATCCCAGGTATTACTGTACAGTACACAAACACAGGTCTGAAGACAGAAATACTAGTGTATCAGGGTGTTTTCTAGGCACTCATTTCTATAACAGTTGAGTTGTCTGCAAATATAAACCACTTAATTGTCACAGCCATACTCGGAGATGAAGTGCAATATTATTCTCATTTTACTGATCAGGACTTGAGGCAAAGGCCTGGTTCAAAGAATCCTTTCTTTCTGTGAAGAACTGGATTTTTCAGACTACTCAGCACTTCACACGTTCAAAGCACTGCTCCCACTGACTTACGCTTCATCTGGGGATGGAACTGGCTAGAAACATTTTGCTAACATGTTTTCATTGAAAAAAATGTCATTTCCAATGGGAACACACTAGTTTCAGGAACAAATCCTCAGCTTCATAATGGGTCAACGTGGTACCAAGTCAGACCAAATCCTTCCTTCCCACATTCCAACTAAGAAAGGAGGCTATCGACTGGGTAGGGACTCTGTCTCAAGTGTTGGAGCTGCTTTGTTTTGTGCAATTACTAATCGTGCAGGAACCTAGAAGGTTCAAGGAGACCTTGAATCAAGTTTTCCTACAACCTGTTAGGGTCCTCACCATGGTACTAAATTAAAAATCGGTCCTTTTTCCTTCTTTATCCTCAGAAGTATAAATTGATTAACTCAAAGAAAAGAGAATGGCAGTGCCTGATGCTGCAGGGATTTCACAGAATTAACTGTCCTTCGTTCCTTGATGTAAACGTTTGTCACCACATTAGAAAGTAACAGAAAATATTACTGAAAAATATCTGCACTAACTTGTAGTCTCCTACAAATTTTGAGGTAAAAATTTATGAAAAGACCTCTACCAATTTCTGTGAGAGATACATCAGGTCCCTTTTGGAGAATTACACAAAATCTATACAGAAAAAACCAAAAGATTTTTTTTTTCATGAGAGATTTGAGTTGATGTTTACTGTAATGAAAAATTAGAACAACACTAGCATCTAATTTAAATCTAAAAGTAGATGTACAAAAACAAAGGGAAGGAAGGAGAATGATGTGTCTTTTAGGATAAAACTGGTCAAAATCAGTGAAGGCCAGCTTGGAGAACGATTTAAGTATTAAAAGCTACTACAGGTCAATCAGATGATAAAATTTACCAGGAACTATGTACATGTCTATTTTCATTACCAAATATAAGCAATTTACAGCAAGTAAAGTACTAGGGGGGGAAAAAAAAAAAAAAGAAAACCAAACTGCTTACAGATCAGTACCTT